TATTTATATTGATATTTCAGAGAATGGACACAAAAACTGTTTATACATAATATCCAATCTTATGTAGTATGATCAAGAATAACTTGGTTGATTGAATTTATAAGCATAATTCAAAATTTCCTTGTAGCATTGATTCTGTAGCTATAATTATAAAGTAGTTGCTTAGATTCTTTTAATCAATCTTTTCATGGGAATATATTTACTTTCCAGCCACAGAACAACTTAAAAAGTGTCTTTTATCAAGGACACGTAAATTTGAATCAATCATACCAGATCAGACTGAATTTGATCATAACAAAACAGTAAGTTACAAATGCAGAGATAAAGCAGAATTCAAACAATCAACCTGCATGAATGGAAGGTGGGATCCCCCACTAAACTGCACAGGTAAGGGCTTGTTTATACAGTTTTTTAAAATGCTGCTATTTCTTCCTAACTTGTAAAAGGGATATGTTTCTGTCTATTTTTTAAAAATTAGCTATTTATTATTACAAATGGTTTGCAATCTATAAGGGATAACCAAAATCCTGTTTCTAAATAATACTTATACCTGGTACATCAATTGGCTGTATCACAAGCCACACAAAACTTGAAGGGTCTAGATTAACATGCTGTGATCAGTCTCCTTTCTTTCAAGGTTGCATTGAGAAATTGTGCTCATTAGTATTGGAGCCCCATTGTTTCAGTCCTTTTCTTACACACAACCAATCTACACATAAGCCTATGTCTATATTGATTTTCTGTCTATTATCTATTTATTTCTATCTGTCTTGAAAACCCTGAGTCAAAGGATATCTCCAATTCCAATTGGACAGCAGACAAAATTCATTCTATCTTACCACTTATCTGTACTTTTCTTTTCCAACTGCAAGAATGTGAGAAGCTTATGCTATTATCTTAACACTTGCAATGACTTTTGTATGTTTAGCATAAATAGGCATATACTCACAGTAGTTTAACACCAATTCTAAAGCAAAGCTACTATCTAGAGTTCACTATGTTTAAACTATTTTTATTTTAAAGAAACAAGTAATATTTATATGCAGTGAAGTGTACATGTTCCTCTACATTCCCTTTTAGAAGCTTAGTAGTTTTGGCATTTGCATTTAGGTATATTGTCTACCTTAGGTTGCTTTTTGAGTCAAGTGTCAAAAAGATTGATGTTCTTTTTTTAGTACGGATAACCAGTTTATATGTGGAAAAAACTTTGAAATGGAAAGCAATTCACTATAGTAGTGTTGGTTTATTTCTGGACTCTCTATTTAGCTCATTTATTTACTTTCTATCCTTCAGCCCAAATCACATTGCTTTGATAACTGTAACTTCATAGTAAATTGTAAAGCCCAGTATGCATTCTCCAAATATAATCTTCCTTTTTCAAGATTGATCAAAGGGGCCCTGTTGACTCAATGGTGAAGTGTTAGGCTTTTGTTAACTGAAATGTTGCTGGTTCAAACACACCATCCTCTCCACAAGAGAAAGATGTGGCAGTCTGCTTCTGTAAATGTTTACAGACTCAGATACCCCAAGGGACAGTTGTATTCTTCCCTAAAGGGCTGCTATCAAGGGCAATGTGCTTTGTTTTCAAGATCAATTTAGATATTGTGATCTTTGCAGTTCTGTAGCAATTTTAGAAAACAGTGTAACAATTTTTAAAAATATCTGCTTAGGTAATGAAAGGAATGGCATCAAATCTCTAGATAAAAGAAGGAGAAATGACATCTTTAATTTACTGGATTTACAATCCATAAGCATTATATATCTTGCCAATTATTTATATCTGCTTCCTTTTTTGAATGTTTTTAGTGTAGAAAGTGTGCAGTACCAAAATACTTATTTCTAATTAACATTTTTTTGTTATTATATATGCTATTTTTGCAAAATTATATTTTCCAATTCTTGATACAAATGGAAATACTTTATTTTTTTCTTTTTCTCAGATCCACTATTTTAAAATTTTTTATTGTGATTTGGGTGCAAATTTTTAAAGCTGATTTGTTTTACTCTCAACAGTTCATGCATGTTTGGTTGCAGGGTACCAATTACAATCCCAATAGTAAATAGCTCTCCTCCCTTCTCTTCCCAGTGAGTATCCCTTTCCTGGGTCCTTCTTGTCTCTGCATTCCTGTCTACCCAGTCTTCCCTCTATGTAAATGCTGCCCTTTGATGTCTCATGGTTGGCTGCTCTTAAGGGCTGCATCTCCCTAGGGTAGGAGGGTGCATTTCCCTGGGATAGGTGTTCTGCTTGTAGGCCTTTCTACTGTTTGGCTGAGAGCTAATCCACAGAAGTGAGGCCAGTCCACACCTGAAAGATAACCCAGGGCCATAGTCAGAGGTGTTCTACCAGTCTCTCTCTGACCAGTAATTCTGGTCATTTTTGTGGTTTTAAAGTTTGGATCACATTTTCCCTCCCACTCTATGCACAATCTCTAATTTTGATCCCTTCCAAGTGCTTGGTACTGGTAGCTGGGCACCACCTAGTTCTTCTGATCTCAGGGTCGTGAAGGCTAAGGTTCTTGTGGTCCATCAGACCCTTGGATTAATTACTTACATATGACTGATTTTCTTCACTCTTTTTTGTTCCAGATGTGGAGAGACCAACAGTTGCATCTTAAATGGCCCCTCGAAATCTTTTAAGACCATGTTGCTACTCATCAAAGTAGAATGTAGAACAAGATTTTTATGTGTTGTGCCAATTTAGCTCAATGTCCCCCAAGACCATGTTCCTGAGCCCTCAGGCTCAGTGACTCACCTTTTTAAGGTGTTTGATTTTTGCTGAGAAGCTATTCCACCCTTGTCCCCTGTTAGTTCTATAATGCATATAGATATTTTTGTAGCACAGATATACATGTAAGAATATCATCAGCCAAATCTCTCAGTAGGCACTGGTGTATTCCCATTCGCTTACTCACATCTGATCTTCTCACCTGTCCATGCATCTACCTGTAGACTAGTGTTTGTTGTTACTCATAATGTAGAAATACTTAATTTTTGTGCATTACTTATGTATCCTGGAGCCCTACTAAACTCCCTTATTCATTTTAGGTATTGCTTTGTACATATTTTTGAATGTTCTGTAAATAATTATTATCATTTCAATAAAAGTCTACTTCTTTCTGTGCATTTTTTGCTTTTGCTTCATATCTTCTGACACAGTCTGGAACGTCCAGTTCAGTGCTGAGAGGAAGTGATGAGAGCAAACAATCTTGATCTGTTGCCAACCATTGTATACTTAGCCACAATTATGATATTAGCTTTAGGATTTTGAAAAATACTCTTTGTCACATTGAAGATGTTTCCTTCTATTCCTAGTTAGTTGAGAAATTTTATCATTAATGGATGATCAGTGTGGTTATATTCTTTTTTTCTGTACTTTTTGATATGATTAAATGACTTTCTTCATTGTTCTGTTAAAATATGAAATTCCATATTTTGGTTTTTGAATGTAAAGCAAATCTTTCTCTTCTGGGATAAATTGCACTTCATTGTAATATATTACTGGCATCATGATATTAATATTATTATATATTTTTGAAGGTTTTGATTTGCTAATATATTGTTGAGAAATTTTGCATCTAGGTTCATGGTGGATATGTTCTTTAATTACAGTTTCTTGTAATATCTCTAACAGTTTTTGTTATTAGCGATATTCGGGCCTCATATAAAGAGCTGAATTTTCACTCTTCCTCTGTAGTTGGAAAATATATGTGTAATATGTGTATTATTTTTATAGAAGTATTTATAGCACTCATCTACAAAGCCATCCTATCTGGTACTTTACATTTTTGTAAGACTTTTTCTCATGAATAATTCAATTTCTTTAGGCATTACTATGCTATTACGATTTTCTCAGGATTGTCTCCTCTCAGGATATGGAACTTGCATTATTTACAAAATATATCCACTTTTTTTAACTTATCCAATTGATTGGCAATTGTTCCTGAAACTCACTTAATATTCTATTTTCCTTTTAATATTTATAGAAGCCTTTGTGATATTTATTCTTGCATTCCTGATACTGATAATTTTTGTTCTGTTTTATCTTAATCACTTCTTCCAGTATTTTTTGTATTGTATTAATCTTTTCATATAACTGATATAGACGTTTTACATTTCTCTTTTTCTTTTGTATTTTTAGTTTCTTTCACTTTCTCTATGTTTATTTTTATTATAATTTGCTCTCTTCTTTTCTTTGTTAATTTTCTTTGTTCTGTGGTCTTTATTCTTTTCTCCCTTCCCATTACTTTAATCTAAATGTCTCCTTTTTTCTCATTTCTTAGGAGCTCTGGTGGTGTAATGCTTAAGGCATTTGACTGCTAATCAGAAGGCTAGCAGTTCAAACCCACCAGCCACTCCTCAGAGAGAAAGTTGGGCAATCTACTTCCGTAGTGATATTGCCTCGGAAACCCAAGGAGGGGTCACTATGAGTCTGATCTAATCTATACCATGCATTTAAATAATTCTGTTTTTAAAACACAAGTTTTAGCTGTTATTGCTAGGTGCCTTTGACTCAATTTCTACTCATAATGACCCTATGTGACAGTAGAACTACCATAGAGGGTTTTATTGACTATAAT